AAGATAATCTGAGGTAGGTTTATTTTAAGATTATTTTTGATACAATGTAGCCAAAAAAGATCCAAGGCTCGAAGAGTGGAGTATCTGCCTCCGGATGGTCGAAACCACCAAGAGATCATTAGATGAAGGAAACAATCATGGAGATCTAATACACTCGCACTATCCCTTCTTTTATAAAGGGAACCTACCATTTGTTTTTCATTTTCTAAGCCGTCATTATCTAATCCTAATGCGTTGGCTATGTATCTCGGGTCATTATAAAAGAATTTTCCTAGAAGATAGGATCGAATTCCTATGGTTGCGGTTTTAGCCCAGTTTTGAACGCAAATGGAATTAGAATATAAGATTCGAACGAGTTGATGATACACTATTGGTTCGAGTACAAATAGTTTATCAAATTTTCACTCTCGTAGGGTAGGAAGATATCTAAAATTTATGTCTAACATAGCTTGAAAAGAGGGGATTCTTTCTTCCCGAATTTTGTAGGATTCAAAATATTGAGAATACCTAAAGAGGAGATTTTGTCTACGAACTGGTTAATTGAAGCACGAATTAAGAATGGTCATATTTGGATCATCGGGATTAGGATTAGGAAATTGTTGGATAGGAGGAGGATTTGGAGGTGAGTTTGGTTGTTGGTTTGATCGACTAGAGGATGGCCTAGAATGTTTGTGAGACATGACTTAAGGAAATCTGAATAGAAAGAGTAACCTGCAATTTTAAAACACATGTATGCAACAAATATTAATCCCAAAACTCAAATGATTCCTCAATATTTCAAGGTTCTCTAAAACAATCCTAATAGGCAAAGTTTTGAAAACTATTGAAAAATAATGTTTGAAAGTCTTAATACGTATAGTTTTCATGAAAAACAACATAATTGAATAAAAACATCAATAATTTTCGAAAATAATTTTTTTTTCAAAATTCAAAGAAAATTTTGAAAAATTGTTCGTTTTTTATGAAATTTGTTGTAAAATCTAGTTTAGAATCATCATATAATCAATGCCCGATGTAATGTTCATTCTAGAACTACTTGAAACTAGTCCTAAAATAAAAAATTGATAAAATAGAAGTTTTATAAAAATACTTTGAAGATTTTAGGATTTGAGTGAGATTGGATGAAGTTTGTACGATTTTATGATAGTAACAGGATTGAGAGATGAAAAGCAAGCAATTTCTGATTTGATTCGTTGATTTTGCGCAATTTTTGAGAGTAGAGAGATAGAGAGGAGCGTACGGCGTGAGAGAGGACAAAGGGTTTTGAGAGAAAGAGTGTTATTTGGGCGTTTAATATCTAGAACCCGAGGCGGGTATCGATTGCCTAAAGAGGGGGATCAGTTCCCATTCAAAGGGGAAATCGGTTCCCTTGCAAGGGGGTATCGATTCCTCATTGTGAACTATCCCTTCTCAAAATATATTATAATACACCCTGTAGCTAAGAATGGGCGCCCAAGAATAATAGGTGCATTCTCATCGGCCTCATAGTCTAAAATGAGGAAATCTATTGGAAAGAAAAACTTGTCCACTTTAACAATCACATCTTCAATTATGTCATCGGGACAAATGTGTGATCTTTCAACTAGTTGTAGAACCACGGTGGTTGGTCGAGCGTTACCCATTCCAAGCTTCAAAAATATGGACTTAGGCATCAGATTTACACTTGACTCCAAGTAACAGAGAGTTATTCCCACATATTTATCACCGATGGAACATGGTATAACAAAGTTGGCAGGATCTTTTTGCTTCGGTGGAAATTTACTCATTGCCGAACAATATTTTGTCTCTGTGGCAACATTTTATATTCTTTCCATCTTTCTATTTTTTTGTAACAATATCCCTCAAGAATTTGGCATAGGAAGACATTTGCTCAATGGCTTCAAGTAATGGAACATTGATATGCAATTGGTCAAGGACATCAACAAACTTTTTGAACTGGATCTCTTTATTATGCTTCTTCAACCGTTAATGGAAGGGTAGTGGAGGTCTTATTTCATCCGATGTAGGTGGTGATGAAACTTTTGCCTTGGAAAATAATTTTTCACCATCAGTGTGATGACTTGTTGAAGTCGCGTCCTTTTCCTTCTCCTAAGGCAATTCTTGTTCAACAATTTCTACTTGACTTCAGATTCTTGATATGTAGTGCCTTGGAGAGAAATTTCTTGCTTCTCTCCCCCAAACTTATCATCATGATTAATTCGAGTACCACTCCTAAGTGTAAGCGCACTGCATTTCTCCTTCTGATGAGGCTTAGTGACCTGAGTATCACTAAGAAGGGTCTCTTACGGCCAAGAATGTACTGTTGCGGTTATTTGTCCCACTTGATTCTCTAACACTCTTAATGATGAACTACGGCTTTGTAATAGAGTTGTTTGGCTTTGTAATAAAACACCTTGATTCTTAATTATCGATGAGTGCTCGTGTATCAAGGTCTTTGTTGATACCATGAAATCTTTTGTCGATGCCATAAATTACTACAGTGAAGCTTCAAGTGAGTTAGAATTTGATGAAGATGCATTGCTTTTATTGTTACCTTGTCAGGGCATTTGTTGATGTTGCGAACTTGAGTGATATAAAATGTTTTGTTGTTTCCTACTAAAATTGTATGCATAATTGTTATTGGTGTTCCCTTGATTACCCCCACAAAAAATTTGGATGTTGTATCCATCTAGGATTGTATGTATTAAAGTAGGGTTTTTTGCTTCTGTTGAAGTTGCCCACAAAATTGATGGACTCCTGGTTTTTTGGGCATTCACTCTTATGATGGTTGTCACGATAGAAAATGCATGTTGCGTTAGTTGCCTTGACTTCTTTCACTTCACTGGAACGCTGTAAATTTTTCAGTATGTTAGTTATTGCAGAAAGTTGGGCAGAAACTGAATCCTTATTGACAAGTTCATACGCCCCTGATATTTTCTCGTAGTTCCAAGTCTTGCAGACGGAAATTTAGTCATTATTAGCTATCTGATCGAGGATATCAAAGGCTTCCTCGGGTGATTTGTCAAGCAAGGTGTCATTTGCCAACGTATCCAACATCATACGAGTAGGTGCATTGACACCATTATAAAACATGATGACTTAAGGCCAGTCGTCAAATCTATGGTTAGTACACTTGCGAAGTAAACTTTTGTATCTGTCCCAGCACTCATACATAGATTCATCATCGCTTTGGTGAAAACTTGCAATGTCATTGCGAAGCTAGGTGTGCATATTGGGCGGGTTGTATCTAAGAAGGAAATTTTTTGCATAAGTCAGCGCAAGATTCCATAGAGCCGGATGGGGATCCACTCAACCACGCTCTTTCTCGGTCACACAAAGAGTATGGGAATAATTTTAGTTTCAGCATGTCCTCATGCAACCTTATTATCTAAATGAGTCGCACGCGTCAAGGAAAGCATGCACATATTGTCTAACATCTTCATTAGGCAAGCCATCAAACCAACTAATAGAAATGAGCATGTTGAACATCACCGGCTTGAGTTCGAAGTGAGCTGCATGTATTTCTGGTGCCACGATTCCAGGGTTGAGATAATCGAGAATAGGATTTAAGTGATCTCTTATAGTTCGTGGTCTTGCAGTATTTTGGGGAATATTATTTGCTGCGACGTCGAGATCTACCTGGTCTTTCATAGTGTTATCAGCTTGATATTACAATCGATTCATATAGTATATCTGGCACGCTGAGTACGTCACATTTGTCTAAATGATTGCTCGATCTCAAGGTCAAATGGTATTAATGATTTGTCAGCAAATCTTCTAGTCATGCAACGACTAAAACCTACAAAAGAAAATAAGAAAAAAAAATAAGTCAAACTAAATAAAGAAAATGTGACAAGAAAATAAAAAAATTTCTTTAGCATAAATTATCAAAATTCCTCTAGTTGTTAATCCCCGGCAATGGCGCCAAAAACTTGATCGCTTGTAAATGTATATGCTAAGGTAAACAAATCTGTACAAGTGTATACAATCGATGCAAATAAATAGTAGTAAGTTGAGTATCGTCTCCACAGGGATTGGTGGGAATTTTTGATGTTTTGCTACAGTTAGAACTAGGTGTCATAAGCTAGTCATACTGTTCTTGTCAAAAAGGAAAACAAATGGGATTACTATGCTTAGGCTGCCTGACATGATTACTAGAGTATTCAAGGACGATTGCTATGGTAATACTACTCGGTGTGAGCTACAACCCTTGGTTTGTCAAACTATTGCTATGACAATACCTCTCAACGTAAATTGTAGTATTTGCCTATCTTAGTCAAGTATTTACCCCTTTTAGTCGAATGAAACCCTCTCCTTATCTCTAAGGCATTTTAGAACCTCACCATATTGGATTAGTTTCGTTGTTCACTTAGATCTACCCTAACTATCTCAATATTAGACATCCTAGAAAAATTACAATCTCTCGAAAACTCTTACAAAGTCTAGGAATGTTTTGTCGAGGCATCAGGCAATCTTTCAAAAGCTCTTACAGTGTCAAGGCAAAATATTTAAACAGTGAACAAAATAACACTTAGCATAAACAAACTACATCATTCATTAACAAGAAAATAATGTTTAAACAAAACAATAACCAACTCCAAGTAAAATAGTTCATGGTGCAGTAAATATCTTCAAAAAATCATTCTTTTAAGCACATCCCTTAACATGATATGAATATAAAGAACAAAGCAAGAAAAACACCCAAAATACGAACTCTTCCGTGATATTCTGACCACCACCATGCCTGCTCCAGCGGCCAGCCTCTCTCGAGGGCCTGACTGCTGCTCCGATGAAGCTCAACTATGGAGGTCACCAAGGACGGTCGAGTGGGAACGGTGGAAAGGTAGGGTGCTACAGCCGCTTACTCCAAGCCTAAGGTATATTATCTCCTTGGTTTTGCCTCTTTTTGAAAAGCTATGATGGGGTATTTATAATGGGAATTTCTAGGGTTTAGTGCCCTTGGAAATTCCCTAAATACCCTCATTAACATACCCATTTTATAAATGACATAGTGGCTGGCAATGGTCAATTTCCTTGATGAAGGCATGATTGCACGTGAGGATGAAGCTGGACAAGTGACATCAGCAGTTCTGTTGAGCCACGTCAAACTTACAAGATAAATCTTGCCTTGGCAAAAATATTTGTTCCTCACCGTCGTCTTCTTGTGTTCCTGTAGCCCTGGAGAATTATTTTGTATCGGCAAATAAATTCCTCCTTCGTCATTTCTTGCATCAACACAACTAGCAAGCAACCTCCCTCTTCAGCAACATCAGTTAAACCAAATAAAGTTTTCCTCAGCTAAACTTATCCATCACATGCAAATGTATTCTACAGACAACTATTAGCAACTAAAATGCTTTGACAAATGGCTTTCAATCAAACAATAACCTAAATAAAAAGACCCAGAACACTGTCTTTTACGGAATTATCAGCACTTCAATACCAATGGTTCAACAAAAAATTGAAAAAGGTTGACAGGTAGAAGACATACTGTCTCATATTTCTTATGCACGTTCCAATCTACAATAACAACAAAGAACTTTTTATGGAGGGTGAAAGTATGCAAGTAGTGTTTGAAGTATGTAAGCACTATTTATAGAGGGTGAAAGTATGCAAGAAGTGATTTTAGTTAAAGTATTTTAAGGATACTATAGATCAAAAACTTGATTTTGTTGGCTTTCTTGTAGTTTTAGAAGGATTTTGTGACACTAACTGGATTACCAATAATGATGAGGTAAGCCTTACAAGAGGGTATTCCTACCTTAGGTGGTGTAACGATTTCGGGGAAGTCTACTAAGCAGACTTGCATCACTTTTTCTACCATGGAGTCAGAGTTGATAACTATTGACTTTTCTCGATAAGAAGCCGAGTGGCTTAAAATTTTGTTAGCAGAAATTCCATTGTGGGGAAACTGACTCCTCTGGTGTCCTTATTGTATGATTAACAGACAACAATATGTGTGGTTCATAGCCAAGCTTACAATAGTAAGAAGAGATATATTCACATAAGGCATGAATTAATGAGACACTTGATTAGGAATGGAGTACTCTCTTTAGAGTATGTGAAGTCGGAAAGGAACCTTATTGATCTTCTTACCTAAGGGTTAAGTCAGAAATTGGTTTTGTATTCATCGTGGGGATGAGTCTAAAGTTCATTGGTTGAGGAATTCACGGTAGATACCCAACTTAGTTATCTAAGTTCAATGTTGTCAAAGAATGCCATGGAAAGACTCATAGTGTACAATTACATTTTGTTACCCCTATGACAAATAATGTACATGCACAGTATGAGCTTAATTACTCTAAATAAATTCATAGTATAGTCTTTAGGTGGTCTTAGTGAGACAAATTGATGAATTTACTGATTTTGGTTAAATATCTACTTTTAATAAGTTCATAACTCAGTGTTGAGTGGGTAGTCCTATCGCAAATGACTAGATGAACTTGCCACTAGAGAGGATGTGTTTTCTTAAACTCTTAAGGAATTCAATCCCAAGATTTTGGGTGATCCTATTGAGAAGGGCATATTGAATTCACTAACTAATGAGGTTGAGTATTTATTCTTAATGATTTATTATCCCAGAGTTTGGGTGGTTCATCTAAGATGAACTTAAAGAATTCACCTTATTTGTTTTGAGGTTGAGCTCTTGTAACATCTCTTAATTATTTCATAGCCTGATTTTGAATGGTTTATGTTGAGATAAATCTAATGAAATAACATATGTAAGTGAGGACTAGCCACATTCTATGAAAATATTGGACCTTTTTCTAGTACACGTACTAGAATCCTAAGGAAATATGACTATATATATATATACATTCATATATGTACTTTGTAGACACATCGATGACTTTGGTGGATGAAGTGGTTTGTTGTGTGTTATGAGCTCACGCTAATCTTAGAAAGTTCAAGATTCATTCACTTATCTAAAAGAATAATTACTCATCTTCACTATGTACTAGTTCCATATACGTTTACTAGGGCTTATGCAACTAATCTTGTTATTGCTCTTATCGTGTTTTAATTTCAATGCTCTCATTTTTTATGAAAGAATTCTTTCTTATTAGTGGGGAAATGTTGTTAATGCTCAGAATTCAAACACTTTTAATGCAGTTTAATTTTAGTTTAAATAGCATTTTAATGTTGTTGAATGAAAAAACTTTTTATCCTCACTATTTAGTTTATAAATAGTGCACAAGTCTTCCCATTGGACATATGTCGAAATGATCTAAAAATAGTGGATTTAAGAGCTCGTCTCGACTAATTTCGGGTTTTATTTAAAAATTAAAAATATGGTTCGAAGAGTCGCCACTAATCTTTGATTAAGGTGTGATTAGGCACCCAAATGTTTTTGTTATTTTAACCAAATTTAATTTCTAATATTATTAAAACAACATTTTTTTAGGTTTATGTATCAAAAATTGAGTTCGAGAGTTTGTTACGTGCGGGGAAGGGTTAGCACCCTCACAATGCCCTAAATCGATACCTAGTCGATTAGTTAGTTGTCTTTGCAAAGATACTTACAAATTCAAATTTACTTTAATTTAAGATCCTTTTTTTAAACCATATAAAAATATTAGTCCTTGAAATTAAGAATGAAAAAGAATGATATTTAACTATTTCGTATCGAAAAGAAAGATCTCTCATGTGTTAAAGCAACCGGTTCTTTTTCCAATCGAAATGGAAAAATGTTGTCATTCCATTCAAAAATTCATTATTAATCCATATTTTAAATGCATGCATGATAAAAAAAAAGAAGAACAAATTAATTATAAATTACCAATTCTTTTAGAAAGAAGAAAGATGTTCGATTATTTAAAGACATCGAGATCAGACATATTATGCTTTCTAACAGTCTTTTATTGGTGAATTTAAGTAGACGAATATTTTTTTTCTCTCGTTCCCAAATTTTAGATGAGATTTCTCTTTTGGGGTTTCACTTGATGGGATACCTTTCATTTTAAAATTACCGAAAAAGACTTTATTATGCCTTAAGACAGTCGTTTCACAGTAATCGTAAAATGGAGGGGCATTACCCTTATTCCAGTTATTTAATTAAGTGAAGTTATGTTTATGAGGATATCATACATATTATGCGAAAATGATGTCATTTGTTCAAAGTTATATAAAAATGATGTATTTATCTATAATAGTATAGTATGTATATATTAAAGAATTTAATAGATAACTAAAAATATTTACTTTTAAAATAAAAGTCTAATATATATATATATATATATATATATATATATATATATATATATAAAAGTGCTCTTAATACTAATAAGTTAATACACGTAATAATCTAAAGGAAGCGATTACTATCAATATAAGAACTAAACATAGCTAATATATATATAGTATAATATATATGAACATCAACCTATATAATAAATATAATTAATACATATATACATATAAAATAGGTAATATATATAAACACTTAGTCAAAAAAACATATATGACACAATATATATATATATATATATGGACAGAAAAATACATAATAAATGTAATCAATACGTATATTAAAATGAAACTTACAAATTCAAATTTAATTTAACTTAAGATCCCTTTTTCAAAATCACATAAAAATATTAGTCCTAGAATTTAAGAACGTAGAAGAATGATATTTAACTATTTCATATTGAAAAGAAAATATCTCTCATGTGTTAATAGCGGCATTTGTAGCGGCGTTTTTAGAAAAAACGCCGCTAAAGACTCCTACTATAGCGGCATTTTTATACAAACGCCGCTAAAGAATGTAATTTAGTGGCGTTTTTATACAAACGCCGCTAAAGTCTATAATTTAGTGGCGTTTTTATACAAACGCCGCTATAGACTTGTACTTTAGTGGTGTTTTTTATACAAATGCCGCTATAGACTCATGATTTAGTGGCGTTTTTATACAAACGCCGCTAAAGACTCGTACTTTAGTGGCGTTTTTATACAAACGCCGCTATAGACTCATGATTTAGTGGCGTTTTTATATAAACTCCGCTAAAGACTCGTACTTTAGTGGCGTTTTTATACAAATGCCGCTAAAGACTCATACTTTAGTGGCGTGTTTGTTACAAACGTCGCTATAGACTCGTGATTTAGTGGCGTTTTTTACAAACACCGCTATAGACTCATGATTTAGTGGCGTTTTTATACAAACGCCGCTATAGACTCGTGTTTTTGTGGCGTTTGTGTTTACAAATGCCGCAAGTTTACAAACATGTGATTTCGTTAGAAAATTTTGAGATCAAGTGTTCTACTTTAGTTACACGATTTTGAGAAAATTAATTTCAAAATGATATCAATTAATTCGTTCTTTTGGGTTACTCTTGGATTTGTACACTCTACTTATGATGCATTTAGGACTATTGAACAACTCTGGGATTTGAAAGAAGATTTTGAATATAATGAGTGTTGTGTTTAATGGTCAAGATGATTGTAAAATTTAAAAGATAAACATATATTTTTATAAATATATTTAACAAACTTTTTTCCACCATCAACATAAGAAATGTAATATGATCTAACATATCGATTAAAGTATATTAAATGTTATTAAATACCTTTAAATAATTATCAAATATTTTTTAAATTAATCAATTTATTATTAATGATTATTAAATTTTATTAAATTATTATAAAATAAACGTTAAATTATTATAAAATAAACATTAAATTTATCAAAATATTATACTTGTTATAATATTATAACAACTATTTTATAACATTTATAAATTTAATAAGATTTTTATGACTAAAATTTATGGAAATAATACGAAAAAATTGCTTGTTTAAATGGTGCCTTTGTTGAATAAAATGCCTCAGTGTTAGTGCTACCTGTGGCAACATCATCAAGTGTGAACATCCGACGTGGCAAACTTAATTAGCAACTGTTGGATCAAGGACCACTAAAATCCAACGGCCATAAGAGAAACCTTAAATTGAAAACGGGCCCTTGGTTTCTGCTATAAAATTCCAAATCCCCCTGTAATTTCCCATTCATCGTCCTCTCTTTCATTTCAACTCAAAAGCGGCTCTTCGAAAAGGTTCGATTCCTTCGTCATCAAAATATCAATAATTGTTTTATCCCAATTTTTATTTTCGTTTGTAAATCTTTGTTTCTTTTAATTTTCATTATTTTCGAACGGAATTGTTTAGATCTGTTTTTTATGAGTGATTGTTTCCATAACTTTTATGGAAACAAATTAAAAATAATCCCCACCATATTAATTCATTGCTCTCCATCTGCATCTGCCTCTGTCCACAAACCTTGAAAAATCTAAACTTCAATTCAACCACCCTTTCTGAACCAAAAAAAGAAGAAAGAAACATTTTCCCCCTTTCCCCTGTTCTACTTGCTTACGACAACAACAAGCACAGGAATCTTAGGCGGCAAAATTTTGAAATGGTATATGGCAATTTGGTACTTTGGGTTTTGTTTCTCTTTCGATTTTGCTGTCTTGTTGATGTGTTTTTTGAAACAGGTGATGTTGGCCAGTTTACTTAAAGACCCCGAATTTGCCAATGTTGATTCAAGTGAAAACGAGTATGTTCCTTTAAAAGGAACGATTTTGAGGACTAAAAGTGGTAAATTTGCTTCATCCATCTCGGACCTTGTGTTTCTTGTACCACCTTCAACATCCTGGCTCCTATCTACAAGCGCTTGGACCAGTAGGTGATGTCTTCTTCCCCTTTTTCATTGATTTGTTTCCGTTTGTAAATTATGCTAATTTTCATTTTTTTTATGGAACAGAATCAGAGCGTACATGAAAGTGATTTTAGAACATTTTGGTTAGCTACAAATGAGAGGATAGTTGATTGGTTGCTGTACGAAAGCTCTTCCATTATATGTCTCAAGGTGGGTTTCATGTGCCCTTATCTTCTATTAACAGTTTATTTTTTAGGCACAGTCTTAATTTCAAATATGATGATATAAGCCTTATCTTTGTTGTGGTTATTTGGTTCGATGATAGGAATTTTGGGTTGGAAATGAAGAATTGGTGCAAATGTATGAACAAAGGCTCGGTGATGCCGGCTATAACACCTTTAAGCTTGCAAGAACCAATAACCGAGGAGATGGTACATGCTCATTTAACTCATTTCTTCCCATGACGTAGACATTTTTTAAGAATTGTTAATGCAAATGGCGTAGATTAATAGGGCGTTCTTATATGTTTTCTTCACTATAAGTAGATTAAGCTTAAATAGACTAAAAACCGTTAGAGAACCCTTGTTCGGTACAAAAAATTGTGATGTTAGTTTTATGCAGCTTGCTATTCTTTAGTTTCGTGGTTCATGTCTAACTCATATAACCTTTAGTCTTTGAGCCTTCCATTTGGCTCATTTCCTATCGAAAGCGTTAACCAAAGAATGACCATTTTCTCACCTTTTGGGGGCCTAAAATTCGGCTCCTTATAGTTCACATATTTTCTCATCTTTTCAGTTGCTAGCGATGGGGAAGACGATGGGGATATCTTTTAGGTTGTTTACAATCCTTATATCGTGTACAGACCTTCCTGAAAGATTTAAATTCAATTTCTTCAGTACTTGATGTTTTGTTTTGATTCTAGTTCTTTTTAAAAGTATTCACTAGTTACAAATAACAGTCATGAGATTTTATATTTTCTTTTACTTACAGAGGTTTGTTGATTGCTGTACACAATGGGTACTTTAGGATTTTAAATTACAAGTAGTAGTCAATGAAACATATCAGAGAGAACATAAACTCAACCAAGCACTTGTCATACTCTGCGGGTAAGGGTAATGTTTAGTGTTGTTGTTTGATGATTTCCTCAGAGCAGCACATTCTCATCTGTTTTGTATAATTTTATCCGTTCTTGTAGTGACTGGAACGGAAGCAAACGTGGGCATGTTTACAAGTTCCCAAGGTCCCAGGGATTTGAAACTTGAAAATGCTGCCATTGAGCGATCCAAAGTTGTTGACTCTGTTGTTCTGAGAAGATACAACATATGGAGGAGAGAATTTGAGAATGATAATTCAGATTCCACATTGTGATTGATGAGGGATCAAATTATAATGGCACAAGTTTATATAAGCATAGCAAAGATGAAAAATAAGCTTGGATTTGCAGCAAGAACTGCAGATCAAGCTCAAAGAGAGTCAGTGTGCAGTTGGAGAGTCAACATGCCTATATGTTTCTAAACTTTGTCCAAATTTCTAAAATTCATTTGAATCAAGGATTTTGTTTTCTGTTTTGTTTCTAATTTCTCATTATTCGGTATGCCTTTACTAATAGCTCCTAAGTTATTGAAGTATTACTCTCTGTTATTTTGATTGCCAGTGTTTTCATGCCTAGAGGTGAACTAATGTGTATAGTTTCAATGAGTATAGTTCTGTTTTATGCAACTACTCCTAATAGTGTGATTTACGACGTTTTTAGATGAAAATGCCATTAATAATGGGCTTATTTGCGGCGTTTTTAATTACAAATGTCACTAAATACACAGTCAATAGCGACGTTTGTAAAGAAAAATGTCGCTAAATACACAATTAATAGCGGCATTTATAAAGAAAAACGCCGCTAAATACACAGACAATAACGACGTTTGTAAAGAAAAACACCGCTAAATATAAAGTCAATAGCGGTGTTTGTTAAAAAAACATACACAGTCAAATGCCGCTAAATACACAATCAATAGCGGCGTTTGTATATACAAACGCCACTAAATACACATTCAATAGCGGCATTTTTAAAGACAAACGCCGCTATATGTCTTGACCTATTGCGGCGCTCATTGTAGCGGCACTTCTTGCGGCGTTTTTGCAAGCGTCGGAAAAGTTTTTAGCGGCACTTATAAACGCCGCTATAAGGTTAACAAAACGCCGCTAATGACCCATTTTGCTGTAGTGCAACCAATTCTTTTTCCAATTGAAACGGAAAAATATCGTCATTCCATTCAAAAATTCATTATTAATCCATATTTTAAATACATTCATGATAAAAAAATAAAAAATAAAATATAAATTATCAATCCTTTTAAAAAGAAGAAGTATTTTTTATTATTTAAAGACATCGAGATCGGACCTTTTATCCGTTCTAAAGAACTTTTCTCGGTGAATTTAAATAGACGAACATTTCTTTTTCTCTCGTTCCCAAGTTTTAGGTGAGATTTCTCTTTTGGGGTTTCACTAGATGAGATACCCTTTCATTTTAAAAGTATCGTAAAAGACTTTCTTATGCCTTAAGACAGTCGTTTCACAACAATTGTAAAATGAAGGGTATTTCGTTTAGTCCAATTATTTGATTAAGTGAAGTTATGTTTATGAGGATATCATACATATTACGTGAAAATGATGTCATGTGAATACATTCATATTAAAAAATGATGTATTTATCTATAATAATATGTATATATTAAAGAATTTAATAGATAACTATAAATATTTACTTTTAAAATAAAAGTCTATATATATATATATATATATGTATATGTAAATAAGTGCATTTAATACTAATAAGTTAATACACATGATAATTTAAAAGAAGCAATTACTAACAATATAAGGACTAACACATAGCTAATGTATACGTATAGTATAATATATATGAACATCACCGTATATAATAAATAAAATTAATACATATGTACATATAAGGGCAAAATTTTTAGGATATTGTTGTTGAAAAAAGAATGACTCGAATAATGTGGAAGAAGAATTATTTCATGAAATAAGGTATTTGTTACAATTCGAACAGAAGATGCGTTGGAGTCTCGGCTCAAATTGGCAATTTCATTCCAATTCCAACTCAAATTGCCAATTGCAAATGGAATTGCATGGAATTGTCAATTGAAATAGGGTGACTTACCATGGAATTGCATGCATGTAAGATGGGGAGACGCATTGCAATCCATGTATCTCCCCCAACCCCATTGAAGACGTATTGCCTTCTTAACGTCTCCGATTCAAACTATAACGAGCACCCTATTTCACTAAATAATTCATGCTTCACGTTATTTGAGTCATTTTTTTCAACAACAATATCCTAAAAATTTTGCCTACATATAAGATACGTAATATATATAACACTTGGTCAAAAAAATATCATATATGACACAATATATATATGTGTGTGTGTGTGGACAGAAAAATGCATAATACATGTAATCTATACATATATATAAGGCAAGGAAGACACACATACTATATATGCACGTACTATATAAGTAGAATAATATAACACATTAATGCAATAACCTATATATATATATAATAGATTAGTATACATGCATATAAAGTAAGTTGTAAATATATGATATAATGGCACGAAATGATGGCTAAAATTAAGTAACAAAAAAAGTGTTGGAAACTAAATAAACAAAAATAAGCAAAGGACCAAAATGTAAAGAAAAATAAAGCAAAGGTATAAAGATAAGCTGCTGAAATTTAAAGTGCTATAAAATAAATTGCAAAAGTAAAGGGTTCTGAAATATAAAATAAAGGCATGAAAATTAGAGGCATGAAAATTAGAGGCATGAAAATTAGACGCATGAAATAAAGACTAAAATGTAAGAGCATACAAAAATAAGGATCATAATATAAATAGCAAGAAAATAAAAAAACATGAAAATAGAATAAAATAAAAACTCACATAACAAAAAAATAAGGAATAAAATGAATAAATAAAAAGTTAAAACGCATGAATACAAACTGTAATAAATTGGAAACAAAAGAAAGTGGGATTGTTTCGCATTAATGTTAAAAGCGCAAGGCCCTGTACAACAAATAACACATCAATGAATATGGTCACCAAATGACGTCATTCATACGCGTTGAAGAAAAGTCATTTCTTTGGCTTTACAATTCTCATTTTTTTCATTTTGGTTTTGTAAAAAAGAAAAAACAAGGCACAAAGGCAAAAGTTGGCTCAACCACCGCCTCCTCGCCGAAACCTGTTTTCCGATGACCGAAGCCAAACAATGGAAAAGTCGATGAGCACTCTACTCACTCCGAATACACCGAAAAGGTAAAGTGCGTCGTTTTGTTTTCCTTTTCTTATTGTTTTTTAAAAATTTAAATATCTTTTGATTCAGACAAGACACCCAAAAAATAATACCTTTAAAAATAGATATGAGATTCTTATTGATTTTTGCTTCTCTTACAAATTTTTTTCTTCCTAATGCTTCTCTAGTTTTTTAATCCCAAAAAAAGCTCCTTTTATAAAAATATCTCCTTGGTATATATAACCCCAAAAAAATTAAAACCCTGGAAAAAGAGTTGTACAAATCGTCCAAAAAGTACTAATCTTTGCTACTTTTTTTCTTTCTTTTTTGTCACAATTTTGAGTCTTGCATGAAAGAGGAAAGAAGGTTGGTTGCACACACGGAGCAAGGAGGAACACCAGTGGTCTCACGTACATCATACTAGCTAAAGATGTGACTATCGGACGGCTTGGAGGCACCTAAAACGTTGTACGCATTTCACTGACGTTTAGGGGGACATTTGTTCATTGTAACGATTACACACATCGAGATAAATTCGCTTCAAAATAAGTGGTTAATACCACAACAAAATTAATCAATCCTTTGCTTATATATTTTATTTTATATTTTCCAGTTAATGTCTCATTTTGCAACAATATATTTTTCAACGATGGGTATGAGATGAAAAATGATAATTTTAAAATTATATGGTACAAGTATGGGAAGGATATAGTAAATATAAAATAAATTTTAAAATTTTTAAAGACATAAAATGGTCATAAATATTCATTAAATTTCATAGTGGCTAGAATTCTTTGATAAAATGTGGAGATTTGAGTGAACGTAAACCAAATCTTCAACTTGGATTTAACTTATTCCTTGTGAGTGGACGAAGGAATAAGTATTGCAATTTCTTTAACAATCAGAAGATGTAGTAGGTTGTTAAAGCACTTTGAAAATTAGAGATTGGAATAATGGAGTTCGGCACTAAAGTTAGTCTACTAACTTTTCGAATTTAAATAATACCTCTTTGTAAGAGAAATTAAATCATAATTAAATTATATTATATTTCATCTTTATCCTTTTATTAATCTTAAAAGTAATCTAAAGTATGCGCAGAAAGATCAAATATCATCTCTGATACATCTCCAAAAAAAAAAATATCTCGAACGCACTTAATTTCAAACGTATTCCTTAAACATGGGACATCCCCAATTCGTTGGATTGGATAGTGGAAAACAAATGTAGTCGTTATCTGAGCATGGCCTCTAACGCTCTAAACATAAACGCCTTTAAATATTATATATAATATATGACTACACACCTATATAAAATTTCTTATGGTAAAATAAAAACAAAATTATTTTATTCTTGTTACTACTGTCGCAGCCGTCTTGCGGTTGGGCCCCGGAATTGGGCATCGACTTGAATAATTGGGTTAGAGTCGCCACCGACCAGTTTAAAACGAATTTAGGTGGGTCGGACACCATCTTACCGGATCTGCGTTGTACCAAAAATGTGTCGGGTTCGGGAGTCGGTTATGGTCAAGGGAGGATTAGCACCCTTGAACCGCCCTTTCGGTACCAATTAATTTATCGGTTGTCTTTAATTGCGAAAATTAGAATTTAAATTAAAAACCCGATTCAGATCGCGTACCTT